AGATTTATTTCAATAGAAATCTACTTGTACATATTTTAAGGTTTTCTTAGATATTAAACACTGTCACTGTATTTTCCTAAGTCCATCCCATTTTGCTTCCAAAATGATGGACACAGAATAACAACATTTTCAGTTAGTAAGAGTAAAGCCTCTTCCAGGTCAAGGTCCAGGTCAACTCCTGGTGACATCATGGACATGTCCCTGTAATTTTCTTGGCAGCAATACCAAAGTGCTTTGCCTTTGCCTTTTTCCAGGATCTTTTTTTTTTGACTTCCTTGTCTACATGACAAGGCTGGCCAGGGGTGCTACCTGCTGAAACAAAGGGGCGTGGGAAGGTTCAGAAAAGGAGTTCAGGAGCAGAAGGGCCTTTAGGGCTTTCAGAATGCTCATTCCTGCCCTGCCTGCCATCTGATCCATGCTGTTTTAAAAGTAAAGAATCATTAAAATTAAAAAAATAATAATTGAAAAGGAAAATAGGGTCTCTGAAATTGAAAGAAAAGAGAGAACACCTGGAGAGCAGATTAAAAAGGTATGTAGATTCTGGTGTGCTGCTATGAAGACACAGTGATCAAACAAAACTCTTGGGAAGATCTTTCCAAACTGTTCCAATTTCTTTGCCACCTCCAATATTTTATTTCAAACACGGTTCTGAAAACTGGATCTAAGATCCTTCCTTTGGAAACTGGGGCTCCAACCACCCATTTCAAACCAGTCAGAGACTGGAGTTAAAAAAGCAGATCTTTGAGACAGTGAAATAATGGAATCACAGTAGAGAAGTCGAGCTAGGCAAGAAGTAATGTTGTGGCTGTCATAATTCCTTCCAGCCCGTCAATGTTTTTTCTGGACAAGGCAGAAGACCTGCAGCTCCCTCCAGATTTCTAGCACCCAAAACTTCTCTCATTGGCCTCTTTGAAGCCAGATGTTGAAAAGAATCTCCACTTCATCGCTCTGGAAATTTGTCCTTTGGCAAGTATTAATCAGCTTCTTGCATACCCAGATTTGCCATTGTAGCAGTGCTAAGGAGCTCTGTCAAAATCCAAACCAGTGCTGCCCTCCTGAGGGCTTCATGCACCTTTTGTGCCAAGAAGAGTTTGCAAATACTTCACTTTTGAAAAATGAAGTATTTTAGCAGTCGGAAAATATCCCAAATCCGCATTTAAACCAGTTAAAGGTTTTTAAAGAAGTTGCAAGCCTTTGCATTTCCAAGAACTCTATGTCATGGAAAAAGATTTAAAATCATAGTGAAAATAAAATATTGGTGGGGGTGGTGAAAAAATATGACTAGTGTTTCAGTTACATGAAGGAAATGGTTACTATCCTTTGTGAGATATGCAGATGATCTGAGAAGTGGAAAAGAGAGTGATCAAGAAGGCAGTCTAGGATGGGCAACCCATAAACTTCCAGATCTTGCCAAACAGCAGCTCCCAGCATCCTACAAGATGAACTCTGAAAGTTGAAATATTAAAAAACCTGGAGAGTCACTGCTTGCTTACTTCTGCCAGTATCTTAATAAAGTTTGTACAATACACCATAATTTTTCTTCAAGCATCTCCTAGATATTTTCTGTTCAAAAACATTTCAAATGCAGCTGCCCATTAAGTCATACTTTATATCAATGTGTTATGTCCTGTCAATTGATTCTTATTTCTGTCTTATTTTCATTAGCTGCCAGAGTCATTCTAACAATATAGTCACCGTTATTGGACTCTGACGTTTAGTTCTGGAACCATAATCACGTCTTATGTATCACTCTCCATATTACATATTACATAATGTACTCATATTACACCACTTCATTTTCTCTAGATATAATATTAATTACAATTTTTCCATGGCTTTTAGTACTATAATGACTCTGCATTTTAGATTGGTAATTGTACTATTCTATAATTTTATAATCGTTTAATTGCCTTATATACATTATACCATACCTTACTATATTAATTTTTATGCTCCAAATTCTTAAACTTTAACTTACAATTTTACTTGCATTGTTATATGATCTTATAGCTTGTTTTACTCTAGTCAGTTCTGTGCTGTAGAGGCTGCACTGATATTCAGCAAGTGAAATGTGACTCTTGTTTTGCTGGCCAATGACTGAAATAAAACAACTATCTTAAAGCTTTGTAAGAAAAAATAAACCCAAATTAGGCAGAATAACTTAATGATGATAAAATAAGTATTCTCAAGAAGAGCAGCATTCCAACGTGGATAGAAACACACATCGTGAAATATGTGAATTGGATAATATGCGAATTTGATAATGCGTCTCCTTTGACTCCTTATAAGGATGCACTGTTGTCATTATCCACATGGTTTGAATTTGAGTTCCATTTTTCCTCCTCTTCCTTTTCCTTCTTACCCATCTTGTTTGACAAACTGTCTTGGTAATGGCAAAAGGTTAGAACTGTTTTTTCAAACCTTTCACTTGGCCTAATAGTAGGGACTTTGAACCTTTTGAAAGGGTTTTTTTTTTTGTTTTAAGTCAGCTATCAACTTCTGAACCTCAAGGGTGATTGCTGGGAGCGTTGCTGTTCACCTTGCATGCTATTCATGTCCTCTTCCAGAATGCCCCATGGAATTAACTGCTGCATTCTGTCTTCCACTAAGCCATTTTAAGTTGGAGGGTTTCCTCCACCCTTTTATGGTAAGGGTGCACATGCACACTCGTGTGCTTCTCCTGCAAACTTTTGGGTTTTCTCAATTTGCTTATACCTAACATAATACATAATGTCTACCTAATAGGGTCCACTTTGTCCATCTGAAAACTCAGCACTTGGGGACACATACAAGAAGAAACAACTCTCTATGAAGTGGCCAAATTAGCTTTGGCTTAACTCATGCATCATGCAAAGCCAGAAAGTGGGTTATTGTGGCTCTATTATTCTGTGAAAGCCGCCTATGATGCCTTATTCACTAAACTATGATTAACAAAATCATGCTGTAATGCAATTGTTGAACCAGGCCAGGTTCTCCTCTCCTTACAATGCCAAATTGTAAAGTATTTTCGTGCTTGAAGAAGATACACTTGCTCCTTATGACAAAACTAGTCTACAGCTTGGATGTAACAAGTTAGAACATGATGCTTTACTTGAATTAGAGCAGGTCTGGTCCCATGGTGTAGTCCCTGGATTCTTCTACATGATAACTTAAGGCTCTCCATTTTAATTTCAAATGGAGGAATAATTTGTCTTCTCAGTGTCTGAAAGGAAAAATCCCTCTGGCTGTTTGTACCTTGGCACACATTTTATGCACCTTGAAGGATTAAAGACTTCAGTAAACACAGGCTTAAGTACAAAACTGAGTCCTGAAATGCATCCAACAATTCTATGGTGTTCATCTGTCAGTCACATAATAATTCCATCACAGAACCCAGCCAAATCTTGCATTTTTGAGCACATTATAAGCAGCACAACAGGGACTAATGCCCTACGGATGAAACTCAGATGAAACTTAAAAGGTGTCTTTTGCTCCACCAGACGTTTCCAAGACTGCTTCTTTGTCAACCAACAGCTGAACTAGCCAACTTTTGCCATCTTTCATTTTTATCTACCAACCACGAGAAGCCTTTCACAACTTGCTGTTTTTAGAATAGCTTTCTTAAGGGTTGAATCACTACAGCTCTTTCCAAATTTTAATTCATCAGTATTTAAACTTCATATGAGTATGCCCAGATGAGACCAAACGCTTTTATGAACATTAAGTAGCTTTACAGTCCCCAGAGCCAAGTTCATATCTCACTCTAAAGTATAATGCAGCTTTTTTAATGTTTTGGCTTAACATAATGCATGAACCCAGTCACTGTAATTTATTTAATCATCCATTTTTAGCACAATCTTCTCCAATCCAGCATCTTATTGATACTCTTGTTACTCACCCTGGAAGTAACTCTTGAGCCAAAGGCTGATTTAGGGTGATGTGTGAACCCAGGGTATAAATAAAACTGATTATTACAACTGGCAAACACACAGATTAAAGGTATGAAAAATATCCTTCCGTAATGAGTAGTAAGCCATCAATAACTTTAGGCTTTCTTGTGGCAGAGGAACACACCCAGCATGACTTAATTTGGATAAGAGTATTGGCATCCAAGATCCCCAAAGAAGGACTTGATCATACAGGCAAATGAAACATGCAAAAAGTTTTTGTGAAAGAAAACAAGCAATTAATGTGGCATACAGACCTTTGCCCAGAGTTTCATGATACTGACAGAATCAGGACCATAAAATATCGGGTGCCAAAGTCAAGAATTCCTTGAGTATTTGTTAGATAAGCAAGCTTCTGGAAAATGACAATCTCTTTTAAAAGAAGGTGGGTTTTTTTGTTTTTAAGGCACTGTACAGATATTCCAAACACCGGAAGGATCATTGTACATATGTCAACCTGAGAAAAAAAGCAGGATAAAATAAAGATCCAATATCCTCCCTTCTGGTGAGAGCTTAAATTGCAGCAGAGACCTATCTTTTTGTTTTGCTCCTGTTCCTCTGAGAACTTGCTACATAGACAATATTAAATAGCAACATTTAGGGAACAGGGAGACCTGCTCAGAACAAGTAATGCACAAAGTATTTTCTGAATTTCTCCATGGCGTCCCCTGTTCTCTACAACAGCACTTTCCTGACATCTGCACCGTTCTACCCCGTTATCCTTCAGGAAAGTCCTAAAGCCCACCTCTTGCAGCAGATCCTGGGGCAGGAAGATCCGTGAGGCCACTTTGGATATTGACTTGACAGTGATCAATCAATGTGTGCAGGTTGGGCAACTGCGGTGTTGCTTCCCTGGTGTGGGCTCTTAATTTTTTTTATTCTTTGTATTTCTTCATTATTATTTTAAACTGCGTTCATGGTATTATTATACATCACCTGGTATTGCTGTGGTGATTGAGGTGGTTATAAATTAAGTACAGTTAGCTTGGTTTAGAATGGAATCCAGTACACACCCAATCAGAAGTGAGCTTCCCACATTCAGCAGGGTTTGGTTCCACTTAGACACATACAGGATTTCAGCCTTAAGACACATTTATTAAACTAGAGCACATACTTTTCTCTATAGAAAAAGGCTAAAGAAACAGATCTCTTGCAAATGCTATTTACAGTATTTTTGTTATACAAAGCAGAAATGATAAAAAGAGTATGGCAAGAACTGCCCTGCTCAATGGTTTCTAACATCAGTTGCCCTCGGTGGTGTGGTCACCATTTAGAAGGGCCACGTCATCCATGGTTGTTGGCTGCTACAAGGAACCATCAGTGAACTTCATTTGAATCTGTTTCTGTTAGTTGGTGGGAACAGAAACTCCAGAGCCAAGCTCTACAGTTCAGAGGAGAGTATGGCAGAGCCATGTAGGGAATCACCAACTTTCCTTCTTTCCTCCAAAATCCCCACAGCAAGCAACCCACAGACAGCCACTGGTTGCAAGGTGAAGTTAATGCCCTTCGGTGTCAAAGGAAGACACCGGTTGAATTAGCCTCATCCACCTGAGGAAGGGCCTCTGCGTCCTGGTCTCCACGAACAAGTCCCACCACCTTCTCCAGACAGGGGGTTATAACCTGGGAGAAGAAAGAGGAACTTTTATCACATGATTCTCCTCCAGGGAACAGGGTAGGGAAGAACACAAACAAAAGAAAAGGAAATTGGGAATTCTTCAAAACCAGTAACAGCAACAAGGGAAAAAAAATCTTTTTGTATGAATAAAAGATTCTGTGTATTTGGGGAAAGTAGCATCTGAATGCTAAGGAATCATTCAACAGGATACTGATTGCATGCATACCTTTACATCAAGGGCCAGGGACGTTTGCAAGAAACAGAGGTCCTCTATCACCTCAAATAGAAAATCAATGTTTTCTCCTTCAATTCCTATTAGTACTGAATATCTAGACGTTTAACATGTTTAATCTGTTTTTGTCATCTTTTGGCAAGTTTTATTAATAAACACTTTGGCTGATTAACTTTAATGGCACCTGGAAACCCCATGTCAAATAGAAAAAGGAGCGCTGCTATTTAGAAAGACATACAACAGCTAATTCTTCTAAAAAATGTGCAATGGAAAAGGTTTAATTACTCTATTAGTGTCTTCTTCCTTCCTTCAAAGCATGGAGATGTGTAGACAAATCTATATCATGTATGCTGGATTGGCTCATGTCTGGCTTAAAAAAATAATCAGAGTCATAAGTAGGCATGAGTGGCAATTTCACCAATTTTTGCACACAAGATGTTTTGTCAACCATGTCCACTGAATATAAATTGTTGGTTCTGAGAGGATACTGCACTGGGGAAAACCAGAGCATTGTTCAAAAGAGGGTAACAAGGAAGTATGAATGTACAAAATAGCTTTGAATTGGAGTAGACAACGGGTCTAAATAATCTAGTATTACCTACTCTGACTTCGGCTTTGCAAATCTCAGTCACAAAACGTGGTAGTCTCTAGCTGTGCTACTTAAAATGTTTTTATTTGGAATCACCAAGGATTTAATTTGGATTTTCTGCAGGTCATTTCATCAATACTCTGAATTCTTAAAAAGTTTAGGATCCACTGGGTCCACTCAGGTCACACAATCAGATTTATTTGTGCAGGATGATTAAGTAGCTCTAATGATCTTTAAGAGAAACAAGCTTATTGTACCCTTACACTGCAAGGATTTTATTTCCTATGTCTTCACTGGGGAGCAAACCCTGGTCCACACTGTGCTAATCATATGCCCAGGATCACATAAGAGCAAGACCAGCTCTTATGAAAGAGGCCAACAGTATGCATTAAAACTGAAAGGCACATTGCAAGGCACTGACATCCTTCAATAGATACACCAAAGATTTGGTGTACACATCTCCATGCTTTGAAGGAAGGAAGAAGACACTAATAGAGTAATTAAACCTTTTCCATTGCACATTTTTTAGAAGAATTAGCTGTTGTATGTCTTTCTAAATAGCAGTGCTCCTTTTTCTATTTGACATGGGGTTTCCAGGTGCCATTAAAGTTAATCAGCCAAAGTGTTTATTAATAAAACTTGCCAAAAGATGACAAAAACAGATTAAACATGTTAAACGTCTAGATATTCAGTACTAATAGGAATTGAAGGAGAAAACATTGATTTTCTATTTGAGGTGGTAGAGGACCTCTGTTTCTTGCAAACGTCCCAGGCCCTTGATGTAAAGGTATGCATGCAATCAGTATCCTGTTGATCTGGGTAAAGTTCCTTAGCATTCAGATGCTCCAGATATTGGTTAACCAAAGCTCCCAGCACCCCTCATCATCATCTTCATGCTGACCAGTACTGATGAAATTGTCATTCAATCACAAGTAGGAACATATAAAACTCAGTGGCCCAGTAACAGAATAGAATAGGTTTGCAATAATTAAAAAAAAAAAAAAACCTGTCTCAAGAAAAATGGAATCAGCGCATTACAGGAGAAAAACAAAATTTTCTGGAGGGACAACCAGATCATGGAATTTTACATTCAGCTAGCCTCAGGTTTCGAATCCATGAGATACAGAGCTTGATGGAAGGAAGCAAGAAGTTCCATGTTGAAAGGTGCCCCATCCTCCAAGATTACTTATTAAACAGAAACACACACACACACACACACACACACACACAATTCTTGGTTTAGAACTTACCATCACCTCGTAAGGGCTTTCTGCTGGATTTTGGCTTTGAGACAGCTTTTGATGTCGAGGCTCCAGGTTTGGGCTCCTGAAATTCAGAGAAAAACTCATTCAGAGACTGGATTTCAGCTCACCCTTCTAATTCGAACAGTTCTCCCACTGAGCACAAAGGACCAACCTGGTGGTGTTGGAGAGTCTCCTTGTAACTTTTTCCTTCCTGCATGCTTTCCCACATGGCTATCTTTTGCCTTCTCTTCTCCTCTTCAACCTGAGAGGCAAAATGTGAATATAGAAGATTAAAATGAAATTATCTTTAAACAGAATTGTAGAATTTGGGTGCCCTCCAGGCTGAACGCAAGCTACCAAGGACTATTTATTTATATTTATTTATTTATATTTCAAATTTAGATACCTACGATCCAAAGGGAAGTAGGACGACCACAGAGAGAAGGGGAGTCTGGCTCTCTACATCTTGTGTGCCCCCCAAATATGCTAGACTTCAACTCCAATAACTGCCAGCCAGCATATCTAGAGGGAATTACTGGAGTTGAAGTCCAATATTATCTAGAGAAGACAAAATTGGGGAGCATGACTTCCACTGAGCAGGCCTGATGTAGGCAGACAGAAATGAAAAGAACTAGCATCAAGTGACAAGATTTAAATTCAACAGCTTCTGTGCCAAAGGTCGCATATCCTTTTTATGCATAAGAGTTGCTTTTCCAGGAAAAAGCTTCCAAAGAGGCAAGCAGAGTAATCTGAAAAGTCATTAAAACACTAGACTGAATTAATATTTTGCAGAAATGGAAAGAATTCTTCCAGGGGTTAACCCTAGAGAACATCTTAACCCAAGACAGACTGTAGTGCACCTTTTCCCTTCAATATAAGGAGAAAGGAGTAAGTAAGCCAGCCTACACTGATGTCACAGGAACAGAGTTATCTTCACGGCCAGATAACTAAACAAGTTATTTGGAATGGAGGGTGAGGACAATCTGGATGACTGAGAAGATACCACGCTGAAATCAACAGAGGAGAATGCAGTTCACTTTCCATTTTTTCCTCTCTTGGCAGGTTCAGACTTATAGCTAGCTAACTTTCTGCATGTTTGCAAACTTCAGCAATCCCACACTTTGGGTGTAGAGGGAAAGAATGTACACTGTGCTGTGTCCCAAGCCTCCAATATTTTCTGCATATTTCAAGCATTCGTCTACAACCAAACAATCCAAACTGAGCATGTTCACCTATTACATTAAGCTATGATTTACTTTACCAATTCTGTTGGACAAACCAGAGCAACCTGGTTCACGCACCACACTAACCACGATGGGTTTTTTACAACCCACAATCACACGCTGCATCAAACCGCAAGCAAATAAGACACTGTAAGGTTTATTGCAACGTGTGAATCCAGTTCATCGTGGTGACTGCCTTATGTACAAGCACAACAGAATAGAAACTCCTGTGTCAAGTTTTAAATGAGCTTTTTAGAGATCCCCAATTATACTCTGAAAATGCTATTTATGATACTGATTTTTTTAAAAAAAATTTCAGATGCAGACTCCCAGTGAAAGGTCTGTATATTTTCCTCATGATTTTGAATAAAAAAGCACACGTGTAGCTGCCAGTCTTATAAAATTGCTGCAGATGGTAGTTCTATGAACAGCTGCTTTACTATCAGAGACAAAGCCATCTGGTCGGGACATACCATCTTCTGCCTTTCCTTGAATTTCTCTGCTTGTGCATTCAATTTTTCCTGCATCTTCATCCGGGCAGCTAGAAGAGCTTCTTGTTGTTTAACCACAGCATCTGGTTCTGAATCGATCACGAGAGAGATTTATCAAAAGCTTAAAGTCTCCTGGAAATCATGAATTTGCACTAGCCTTATACTTTTATTTATTTATTTATCTTATGTATATAGCCGCCATCTCACACAAAGTGACTTT